AAAAGAGCTGCTTGGCAAGGCCTGGCATAGAGTACAAACAAGGAGGCAGGACTACAATTCGAAGCAGCCAAATTTGAGTTTATTCTCACACACAGAGTCCAACGCTGTGGTTTGGGAAACTTGCTCCTTGGGGGCTCCTGTGTTGTCCCACAGATTCCTTTATTTTTTAATGTTTCGAGGTTTTCTAGTTGAGGGGTCCCCAATCACCGAGCCACAGCCCACTATCGGGGCTGTGGCCCGGTTGCAGCTGGGCTGTAGGAGAGATAATAACTGTGCCTGTGGGAAGCTCCACTTGTGTGAGTGGCAGACGAGTGAGCCTGGGCTCACGTGCAAAGCTCCACACGTGTGAGTGAAGGCCGTTCGCAGTCACCTTTCCCTGGAGTGGGGAGGGAATGGGGATTTTGCAGTATCCTTCCCCTGCCACGCCCACCAAGCCACACCCACAGAACCGGTAGTAAATTTATTTAATCCCACCACTGAATGAGTCACTTAACGACTGTGGCAAGAAAGGTCATAAAATGGGGGCGAATCTCCCTTAAGCAAACATCTCACAGAGCAAACATAAATTTGAGGCTCAATTGTGGTCATAAGTCAAGGACTACCTGTAAGAGAAAATAGAATTTAGAGTCATCTGCCCACGGTGTTGTTTACTTGGGTTTTGTTTTGTTTTTTAACAGAGAAGGAATGCATTTTTTTAATATTTTGCTCTGGTGATGTTTTTAACGCTTGGAAAGCCACCCAAGGTTTCCCGGTGTGTGGGTGGGCTTTTAAAGTCAACTAAACAAAATTACATCATGTTGTTCCCTTATAACTGTTTGACGGGGAGCGTCTGAGCAGGAGTGCCTTTGAAAATGGGATCATCAGAAAACCAGTTGGCCCGCTCCGCTGGAGTGATTTAAGGCTTAAAAAAAATAAAATAAAGGCCAGCCGCTTGAAATACCTGCTTTTCCCACCCCGGAGAACACAAGAATTCTACCATGCCACTTCTGAATAACGTGGACGATATCTTTTCTCTGCAATTAGCTCAACCGTCACCTGCATGTGCCATGCATTCAAATGCCCACATAAAACCAGCCGATGATCTAATTGAGACCTTTAATCGGCTTTCAGGTTAAGAAGAGTAAGAGAGGCTAGTTGGAAAGGAACCCAGAAGCATTTGGGAAGATTAAGTAACGGCTTCAGTTGCGTCAAAGTTGAGTCTTTGTCTCTTTCGCCAGCACCTGGACCTTTGTTGGCCACACCCAGATTGGAAATCTGACGGCTTCCCAAAATTCAGAAGGAAAATCGGATGATTTTACAAAATTCAGAATGGAAATTAGATGATTTTACAAAATTCAGAATGGAAATCGGATGATTTTACAAAATTCAGAAAGGAAATCGGATGATTTTACAAAATTCAGAAAGGAAATCAGATGATTTTACAAAAT